GGGGGGGTACTGCCCTCTGTGTGCTCTTGAAAAATCAATGAATAAACTAACAATCCAAATTGACATTAATCAAGGCCATCATTTTAGCCTTTCACATTGTACTCTCTTAAGTTAAGGGGTGGGGGTCTTCAAAACACGCACACTTTATAGCCTTGAGAAAATGATGCTAAAAACTGATGATCCCTTACCATGTTCAAATGATGATCATCAGGGTGGCATATGGCTATGTACCCCCTGTACAAGTTCACTTTCCAGGCGAGCTCCTTGGGACAGCTAAGTTCAACCTGCGCCAGGGCGTCCTTCATCAGGTTCCAGTTGGGCACCCTCCAGGCACTCTCCAGGACCAGGTGAGGGTTGGTGTTACCCTTGGAGTTAGCATACTCCAGGAGGAGATCCCACTGGTTCAGTTCCTTAGAGCATCTAAAACAATTATAATCATATTTATTTATTTGCTGGTAAAAGTTGGATAGTACAGATTTAATTATAGTAAAATGGTAATCCTTAATAAAACACATCAGACATGAAAACACTTCCTACAATACATCTGAAAAGACATTTTAATTTTCAAGATAAATTTGAGTCACATATGGCACGGGCTGCACAATGCAGTGGCACCCTCATTTTTACGTATCTCATATTTATTTGTTTACTATAAACTAATGTATTGACATGGAGAATATCCCACTAGTTCTGTTCCTTTGAGCATCTATAATACTAACATCTTAATTTATCACATATCAATATTTAAAAGAAAAGCCGAGAAGGCCCAACTGACTGAATGTCTAAAAGCGTCTGAGAGCATTATTCATCCATCATAGTCAATTAAATTGTGTGTGTGTGTGTGTTTGCATGCATGTATCAAGGGGGCTGTTTTTCATGAAATTTGTACCAACAAAAACCATAGGTACATAATACTTTAAATAGTTTATAAATCATGCACAATGTTTTGTATTTGTGTTTGACATACTTAATCCAATGGTCCTCCCACAGTTTATACTCTGGCAAACTTGTGGGCGTGGCAGGTGCTGTATTGTGCTCTTGTCGAGCCTTGGACATCGCCTGCTCAAACGTCTGCTGCGCCTGCTCAAAGAAGCCGTGTTGCTCGTACGCCATGGCCACTCCCGTCTCCGTATATTTACATCTCTTTTGCCAGAGTCCCACATACATATCCTCTTCTTGTAACAGAGAGTAGAGCTCACACAGCGCATCCAAGGTCTCCTGCTGAGTATTGGTGCTCGAGCTGGGTTCGAACTCGTACTCGCTGCCAGGCCGACTTGGTCTTATGGTTGAGGTGGTCTTGCTGGTCTCAAATGCCATTCTCTCCAGCATCAGAGAGCCGCGATGCCACAGGTTGTGTGTGCGGCCGAGGTACTAGAAATAGGACAAAATGACGGATGAATTTGTAATGAATAAAGCTTTTGTTCTAGGTACGAGAAAAATAATGGATGGATGAATGAATAAAGAAGGGATGGAAGAAAATAAGTGGGGAAAGAAATGAGTGTAGAACTAGAAGAAAGAGAAAACAGATGTAAGATTGGAGTAAGTGAAAAAAAAAAATGCTGTAGAAAACATGCTGTAGAACTGAAGTCATTCTTAAAATAGACCCAAAGAAAAAGCGAGTCAGAGCATTAAACAACTCCAGTAAATATTTCATTTCTGAAACCTGCTCTCATAGGGTCTGATCGGTACTGATATAATATGTAGTTTTCTAGAGGATATGTACCTTGAGTACACAGGGTCTGATGGATACTGATATAATATATGGTATTCTAGAGGATATTTACCTTCAGTACACAAGGTCTGATGGGTACTGATATAATATATGGTATTCTAGAGGATATTTACCTTCAGTACACAAGGTCTGATGGGTACTGATATAATATATGATATTCAAGAGGATATTTACCTTCAGTACACAAGGTCTGATGGGTACTGATATAATATATGATATTCAAGAGGATATTTACCTTCAGTAAACAGGGTCTGATGGGTACTGATATATAATATATGATATTCTAGAGGATATTTACCTTCAGTACACAGGGTCTGATGGATACTGATATAATACGTGGTATTCTAAAGGATATTCACCTTCAGTACACAAGGTCTGATGGGGACAGCGGGTACACACTGGGCCAGTCCCTGCAGGAAGGTGTGGACGGCACTGGGCTGGCAGTCCTTCTGGATCACATGGCTCCCACTACACAGGAACGGCACCAGCTCTCCTGCCAGACTCTGGAACAGGAGGAATGATAGACATACTCTGATACATTTATAGAAATATAATAACAGCAAACAAGACAGGAATGGTTAAACGTAAAGAGAAGCTTTCAAATCAGACAAGACATAGCAATATTTTTATGCTTAAACAGAAACATTTATAATACCAGATATAAATTTCGATATTAAGTGATGCATGTTATTGTGAAAAAAAAGAAAAAAAATTTCATCTGAAATGATTATTTCTCATAATGCCAAGTTTGTAGATCTATACAAATAGTCTTGGCCCAAATGTGTACATAATGCAAATGCATATGAGATGCATGCATATACATGCATAACGCATATGTGCATCATTTGAAATGAACACACTCACTTGTTGTTGCCTGTCTACGAGTATTTCCATATTCTAGGGAACAAATATAAATATATGCCATAAAAATCCACTCACCTGTTGTTGCCTGTCTATGAGTATTTTCCAGATTCTGGGGAACAGGTCCAGCCAGACTTGGTGTGCCAGGGGGGTGGAACTGTGGCACAACTGGGACAAGGCATTCAGGTAAGACACAGTCTGGAGACAAGGGAAACAGTGCGTGTAAATCAATTTGTCAAAATCAGACATGAGCCTAGGTTTAAAAAAAACAACCTCTGAACATATTTTATTGCAGATAAATCTCAGGAACCATTAGAATTGAATTAGAAAAAACACGAAATTCTGCGTTTTCACAGAAAAAGCTAATCTTTGCAAAATTCATGAATGTGATATAGCTATCCAAATTATTTCAAGTGAAAGAAAAAGGCTATAGCAAAGACATTTTAATTTTCTGAAAACTCTCAAATGCAAACTATTCTGCACTGAAAAATAATACAATCATGAACATTTAATATCTGTTAATTAGCATGACATCACAATTGTGCTGAAACACCAAACATCATTTTCATTGACACTGACCTCTTGATATGACCTTGACCCATTTTTAAAATAACTACTGACCTTGACCTCTCTACAGGTCTCCAGGAACTTGGCCTGTCTTTGAAGAAGCATTTGTAGATTCTGTTTGGGATCATGTAGTTCCTTCTTCACTGGCAGATGTAGACCCGAGTCCTTGGATCCCTCCTCCGTGGTGTCTGAGGCCATCTCTATGTCTATCTCGTCCTGAGTTCATAGAAGAAATACAAAATTAAGTCTGTGAAGAGGAACAACATCTTTTTTTAAACTTAACTTAAAAGAAAGAATCAATAACATCCTTAACACCATTAAAATCCAAGGATCACTTTCAAATTACCAATAAATTTATTCTTAAGAGTCAAGACCATCAAGTATAAAAAGCAAAGCATCACAGAGAAGCCAGCTGGTGTCATTTTTCTTCAGCAAAACAAATTCACACATTCAAAGAATATACCTCTTCCTTGTTGGCATCCAAAGACTCAACATCCATGGGTTCCTCCTTCATCTTGGTCAACATGACAAAGGCTGCGCGGTCGTGGCTATCAGCCAGGTTGACCACGGAGGTGGCCGCAGGAAGCAAGATGACGGGTGACGAGCAGTTGACAGAAGTGCCATTTACAGCTACAGCCAAAAGAAGCTGAAAAAAAATAGCAAAATAAAGAAAACATGAAATTGATTTTGGGTTGACTTAGTTTACAAATGCTGTTTAGAGAAGTAACATGACTTTCAAATTTACTTCTAGGAATATGATTACAAGCTGATAGGATGGGGGAGGGGGGGGGGGTCCAGTGGGTCTGAATGAACCACCCTTTGGGCAGGGAAAAGATCAGTGCTTTCTTCCCAAATATTCTTATATTTAATTTCGACAAAAACAAGGTGGTTGTGCAGTAAAAAAAAGTTAATTTTTATTCAAAGAAAGTCCCCTACCTATTTATGTAGCGCTATGGACCTAGATTAGCATTTTATTACTGTCCGATATTTTTCACTCTAAAAAAGTATCTGCCAATAGCGTTGGATGCCATAAATAAATATGTTCATACAGGGACAGATCCAGGATTATTTGAAGGGGGGGTCCGCGGACGCGAGGTCGACCCCCCCTCACTCTCACACACACACACACACACACACACACACACACACACACTTGGTATAGGGTTTCGAGGCCCACTGAAGGGCACCAAAATTTGGTATTTTAGAGGGCAAACGGTGCCATTTGGAATGGTTTAAAACTATGATTCTCATTACAAGTGGGGACTAGAAATTGAAAGGGGGGTCAGGACCCCCCTGGCCCCCTCTAAATCTGCCACTGTCCATATCATTACCTCTATGCACTGTTTTATCCAGAAATGGCCTCCCATGGCCTCCCAGTTCTGAGAGCAGGTGATGTACAGCAGACGATCGTAGAGACGTCTGCGCATGCTGTTGTCAAACACCTGTAATTTGAAGAACAAAATGGATGAGGAGATATGGGTCAGATAGGTCATGAAGGGAAGGCTTGGATATAGATCTTAGTTTGTTTAGGTTTGGAAACATCATAGTAACAAGCCAGATCATAAACTTGTACAGCCTATACATCTAAAGTTATATTCTGTAAAACATCAACTGCTTAAAGTGATCCAAAAAGTATGCTCTGAACTCAACACTATAATCATGCAATAAGGCTTTCTCAAAAAAAAAAAAAAAAAAAAAAAAAAAAATCCTTCAATAAATACCATACCTCCACAAACTTCTGCCTGATGAGAGGTTGCGAACAGCGAAGACCAGAGAGGAATGCTGGCTCTAATTTAGATGTTAACTCACTGCCGCTCAAAGATTCATCCCTATATTAATAAATTAAATATATTCTATAATAATAATAATAATAATAATAATAATAATAATAAATACTTTACATAGAAAAAAGAAAATAATATTATGATAAATTCTGTTAGTTAAACTACACTCAACCACATAAATGTTGAAACTATAACTATGATATTGTGAATGAAATTTATATGTTGAGAATATTAATATCTGTCAAAAAAAGACATCCGACGACATGTTACTTTAATTCACTTCATTTATGCCACAGAAGTTTTATTTCACTTCTTCGTATGTTTCTGAATTACTTACTGCATATTTCCTGACTAGTTCCCCTGAAATTTACCTGTAAATGTAATTGACTAGTTCCAGAAACTGAGCATTAAGTTCAGCTTCATCTGGGAATCTTTTCTCCACATGCTGCATCAGTTTCACCAGCAAGATGGCTTTCTCTCTCAGTGTGGGTCCTTGGTTTATTGCAACCTGTGTCTAGTAATAAAATAGTAATAAAATAAAATATAAAATGATATAAACCTAAAAATCAATTGACATCAGGGGCTAGCTCCTTGTCCATGAATGCAATATGACTATATAGGCTCTATAAACAAAAAATGACTGGCATCTTTTCACATAAAAAAATTTAAGGTAGCTAAAACTTGTCACTTTGTGTTGTGTAATAACTCTAATGATTCAATCTAAAGATCAACTGTCTTAATTTAAAGTTCTGAAAAGTGTCTGAGTTGACAATCTTTTCATGCATAATAAAATCATGCATATTCAAACAAATTCAGTGACAAAACACATGCAAAAAAAGTTCAGTAAACTAAACTGTTTCAACACGCATCTAACTTCAAACTTAAATCTCATCAAAAAAAAAAAAAAAACACAGAAAAACCTTCAAAGACAGATAACATAAGCTCCAAACATAAACAAGGACTTTTTAGCTAGTGTACAAAAACAAATCAACATGTTATCATTCTACTTAAAACTCAAGGTAGGCACATCCTCAGATAACTAATGCAAAAACAAAACCACATGCAAAACTGAAATTCTGTACTAAAACACTTAACCAATCAAGGAGAGTATAAGAAAGGGTAACACATCTAAAATAGCCAATCAAAAGCAAACATACATTTACCTTGGTCTTGACCCAGTCTTCCACCATTTTAGTGATGGCTTTCATGACCTTGACATCTGGTGTCTTTTCAATGAGTCCGACGAGGATTGTCCCAATGAATCCTTTCCTCATCTCCATACTCATCACTCCTACTCTGTTCTTCACAAGATCCAAGCTGAGGATGAGGAGTTCACTGGCCACTGTTTAATAAAATTAAAACCTTAATTTGGTCAGGGATATGTGATATGTAATACACATACATTGTAACTACACTGAACCTGTATCTTACAAAATATGCAACTTTCTGCACCAGTATTTGCAGTTTAAAATGAACTACATATATCTGTGGGTAAATAAACTTTATTGGATCTTCAATAATATCATACTACATACATTAAAATCATACTTTTTTAAAACCATACCTTACCATCATCTGTTGATAAGGGTGAGATGGGGTCTTTTTGAACTTTGAGTTGTAACTCAATGGCACTATCAAATGACACTTTTAAGAAGTAAATTTATTAACTGAGAATCTGGTCATCCTCGATGCATACCTGGGCTGGTTTCGGGAGCAGAGGGAGTCAGATGCTCCCTGGCCATCCTCTGCAGCACTCTCATGAAGGAAGTGATCAGCCTGTCTATATACTGGGGGTTGTGGATGCAGGCCGCTTTCAAGATCATTAGTGTACCAAATAGCTGAGAGGGGGAGCCACTGGTTGATCTGAAAAATATGGAGGTGTCTGGGTATGAGAAGACCTTTTTAATTTATCACCAATAACAAAATATTTTGACAAAATTACAACACTGAAAAACCAAATCTTAATCAGTAATAAAAAACCTATTGTAAGACAGTTAGCTTATAATTTTTCATTTTTTATCAACATGTTTTTAGTCTAGCTTGATATAATTTTTTACATACATAATGTCTCTGTCACTGATATGTGAAGTTCCAAATTACAAATTCCATCCAACAAATATGACGGTTGACGATGCCAATGTCCAAACCCCAAAGTGGAACTGGCCCAGGCTAAATAATGCATTTTTTAAAATCTGACCCTATTTCAAACATATCACTGATACTCTATCAGAATATTCCATACATTTAAGTATGATGGAATGTGGACAAATAACTACATACTTTTCATAGTTGGTGAGTCCCTCGTAGACCACCTTGCTAACACAGGCGTACAGACACTCTAGCTCTTCATACTTGGAGGCTACATTTGAGGTCGCTGGTTCGGTAGGAAAGATGCTCATGAGCCGAGAAAGAAGGCTGTGAACCGAGCGAATCACTTTGGAGTTCGGACAATTCATGCAGGCAGCTATGCCTCGTTGGAGAGGCTTAAAACTTGCAAGGATCATTTCTTTCCTCTGAAAATATACCACAAAAGAGTTATGAAGAAATACTTAAAGAAAACTGAAAACTGTTATTTGGAACCATAAAAGTGTTTAAATAACAAACTTTTTATTTTCTTCAGAAACGCTTTTTTTATTTGATGGAATACAAAACTGATTATTCAAAATGAGCCAATTTCTTTCTTTTTTTTTCATTTTTTTCTTATTAAGTACCAGTATTTTGAAATAAAAAGATATTGCCATGTCCAAACCTTATTACTAAGAAAATATCTGAGATAACCAAGATTTCTTTTTTAAAAAATTAGTACAAATGTCAAAAAGTCTCCACTGTTTCAGGAAAAAACACTATTACAGTAAACAAATATTCCAATAGCTCCAGGTGAACAAATATTAATTTTATTAATTCTACCGCCATCTTTAAATATGTCATGAATATTTAAGTGAACATCTCACCAGTATGGTCAGTAAGAAGTGCAGCAATTCCAGAGCAGTACAGATATTAGGAAAGTTTGGCTGATGGGTCTCCACTGTCATCAACAACTTGTCAAACCACACCAGCTTCAGTTCTGTCTGTGGCCAGACATCAGGCCGCAGCGCCATCTTCAGTAAGTTCACACATCGCCGTGACAACAGTTCTCCTGGTGACCCAACTGTGGT